GTGTGTGTGTGTGTGCGTGAATCTGTCTGTGTGTGTGTCTGGAAGATGTCCTATAAATCCTAAAATTGCAAGTGGACGGAACCTACGAGCACGACCTCATGACGAAGTCTGGAGGCCCGGCACTGGAGGTTGGGCTGCGATGCCTGAGATTGCGAGGCGAAGTTGACGTGCCATCTCACGCCCACTGATCTTCCTGCAGTCGTGACATCAAGTCCTGCTGCCCCTTCCGTCCTGGCGTGACCTAACTGCCGCTGGGCCCTGGACCCATGTGCCATCTCTCGAAAGCGCGACCGGGGGGCCTTGGCTCCCAGGAACTTTGAAGGCTTGGGGCGTTCAAGTTGCCCGGAGCTCCGGCCTGTCCGCTCTTTTTTTTCTGGATTGACAGGCCACTCAGGGCCCAAGCAAGACACAAGTGCGAGCGGTTTTCGTCTCAACCTGGCACTGGGAACCTGACCTGGGCCACTGCTGCCATGGCGGCAACGGTAGCAGAGGCAGATCAAACAAGTTGCAGAACAAGAGTAACCATAGTAGAAACATTACAGTGAAAAGTACGAACAACAATAACCACAATAAGCATCATGACAACAGTAGTAAGACTACAACAACAATAATGTAGTAATACCGAGAACAATCACTATCATCATAATCAAGGCACTTCGATCCATGGTCTTTGCCTTTGCATCTTTTCCGCACGGACTTGTCAGGATTTCCATGTTTGCTTCGGGCTCACGAGGTTGAAGGTGTAGGTTCTTGGAAGTTGTGGACTGCTGTTCGGAGGACGATGCTGTGACTGCAGCTGAGGCAAATATGCGTAGATTAGCTCCCCGTATGCTTGCTATGTCTGTGCTGCTGCTGCAGGTCCGCACGCAGGTGGTAGATCCTGTGATGAACAAGCAAGAACAGATGTCTAAAGAAATCCGCAACCGACTTCACGGATCTGTGAGCAACACAAGTACGGCTGATCGAACCGTTGATCCTCAGACACCCTGAACCGTTTCGAAGAAGCCCATCAAACATCGCCGAAACCCAGCGCTGAGGGCTCGGGTGCACCTGAATGGTGTTCCGGATGAAAGCCGTGAGGCCGGGAGCTGGGAGCGCGAGGGGGCCGTTGGTCTTGCCCATGGCTGCCTGGCACTTCGTAAGACGACAGACAGAGACGATGAGTTACAAACTGCTCTTTCTATTGTGGCTTTCTCAAGCTGCTGCTACTGGTAGCAAGGCTGTTGATATGACTGCGGCTATCTGATTGACAACCATTACAATACCATCGCGCTGGCTACTATATCACTACGAATTTTGCTGCGTTGACGACGACGACTGCGATAACACGACAGCCACTACCGCTACCACCACCACCATCACCACCAC